TTGTCACTTTTGTGTAAAATTTGTCATTTTTGTGTAACATTTGTCACTTTTGTGTGCTTTTTTGTAACATTTGTCATGTAAAAAGTGTCAAAATTGTGTAAAAAGAAGAATTCTGACAGAATTGTGTAAAATTTGTCATTTTTGTGTACCATTTGTCATTTTTGTGTAACAAAAGTTTTCTCCCTAATGACTTTTAATGATAATTGGACTTTTTTAAACTATGTATAATTTTTATTTTTTTATTAAAAAAACAGACATTTTAAACGGAATAAACTTTAACATAATCAACGATCAATCCTGACTCCCGGGGGGTCCATGTCGAATGCCATTCATCAACACGCATGAAAAAGCTCAGTTCCTAGAGAAGGTCACATAAAACTTAAAAAAATATTAATATAATATATTAAATAAACCACATACCGCTTTGGGTGATGTGTTTTCCCAGGGTTTTGGGATTTTTGAATTTCCTGTTTTAGAATCATCAGCAAAATCCGCATTTCCACCTATAACAAATGAATGAAATGAATTTCTTTTCATCGATTTTTTTTATTTGAAACAATAATGATTATGGTTGATGCCGCTGCTAGATATAGTAGTACGCTCTAGACTGTTCTAGAAACATAAATGAACGCTCTAGAATAAAAACAACTTATTGTTTACTCGCATATCGAAACGCGACTCAAAACGGTTGCATATCAAAGCGAGACCATATTTCGTTACCAAAGGAATAAAGAACATTGACTTTTTATTATGCGAAATGTGTAAGTTTCATTTTGTGCTGATAACTAGCTACTGTTCTGCCTTGTTTTAGTAACAGAATTTTGTTTCACTTTGATGTGCGACGCAGTTTAACGATATAAATATTTCACACTCTCGAAGGCTCGGTATAGAACACACAAAAGGTGAAAAAAAAACTTCTTAATCTCAAATTTCAAATACAATCAAATGGCTTGTACCAGCGATTTTTATTGCACAGTTGTGTGTCAATAGAACGTTGTTTGTAAACACAATGCCATGCATTGAGAAATAACATGTAAGGGTGAGTTAGATAGCATTGAACAACGATTTGGGTGACAGAAATAGCTAATTTTTACAATCAGTCGCACCAGATGATATAGGCCTATAGTGATGTGATCAGAACATAAAAATGTGTCATCTTTGTCACCCAAATCGTTGTCCAATGCTATCTCGCTCCTCCTTGTATGTATGAATGTTTACAACGGACATTCTATTCACACACAACTGCGCAATAAAAATCGCTGGTACAAGCCATTTGATTGTATATGAAATTTGAGAATAAGAAGTTTTTTTTCACTTTTTGTGTGTTTTATACCGAGCCTTCGAGAGTGTGAAATATTTATATCGTTAAACTGCGTCGCATATCAAAGCGAAACAAAATTCTGTTACTAAAACAAGGCAGAACAGTAGCTAGTCATCAACACAAAATGAAACTTACACATTTTGTATAATTAAAAGTCAATGTTCTTTATTCCTTTGGTAACGAAATATTGTCTCGCTTTGATATGCAACCGTTTTGAGTCGCGTTTCGATATGCGAGTAAACAATAAGTTGTTTTTATTCTAAAGCGTTCAAATGTGCGACAATGTCTTTTGGATACAATTTCGATGTACCCCGACGTGTCCACTTACTAAGCCACTATTTCCAGAAGAATGGCATACTATAGTTTTTGTTAATTGAATAGTTCAGATTTCATGATTGTACGGGCATTAGAGATAAAATTCAAATAATAAATGATTAGAGCAGGTACAGATCTACATATTTGCGCCAAAAAATCATTGGGAAATTATGAAAAACTTCTCATCAAAAACCCTGAAAAATTAAAAGATTTTTGCTCTTCCAAAAAAGGCCCCTAGCAAGCGACAACATTTTCCAAAAAATCGAAACATGTATGGTTGGAAAGCCCTTGGGACATAGATCAAGAAAAAATATCAAAGTTCGAAAATCGGCCCACATGTCTTCAAAATATGGTCCTTTCAAGAAAAAATTCAGTTTTATGGTCATAGATGGCACTAAATGTGGTCGTTGACACCTGAAACATCGGTATTCTGATTCTAGAGCTCAATACCTTTTCAACGATACCTCAAACGTCGAAATCGATCAATCCGTTCGAAAAAATTATCATTTTAAAAATTTCATATGATTTTCCTATAAAAATCATTTGGTATATCTCCATTGAAAATATCGAGAGGAGAGTATGTTTTTATTCAGGCATTACTCAGCCATAAGCGCTGAATAACATACTCTCTTATCGATATATTCAATGGATCTGTCTGTCCGCGATTTTGCGTACTCGATTCTGATCTTTTTGCAGAGAGTAGAAAACGCTGCCGCTATAGTAATACTATATTAACAGTGCCTATAAATAGTTACTATTTGTACACATTTCGATTGTGTGACTACATGAATTTTTGCGAACTCCAATGTGAACAATGTAACTCTTTGTATGTAGATTTTAAATACAAAGAGTCGCATTGTTCACATTAGAGTTCGCAAAAATTGTTGTGGTCACACAATCGAAATGTGTACAAATAGTAACTATTTATATGCACTGTTAATATAGTATTACTATAGCGGTAGTGTTTTCTACTCTCTGTCTTTTTGAAACTTTCTGGGATTGAAGTACATAAAAAACTAAGACTTTTTTGTTCCGGCACTTTTCGATATGGCCGCCATGTTGGCCCTGACCGGCCTCCAAAAGTCAGTTTTTGACTTTTGTCCCCACGGTCACCGAGACACATCCTTGACACACCCCGGACATATGCATATCGTTGGAAAGGTCTTGAAGTGAGCTATCGAATTGTGCCATTTGTGGTCCAAAAATTTTAAGATGAAGTGTCCAAATTGGCCAAAAACTAAAAATTTACCGTTTGGCCGGACACATAACGGCCATTATCTCAAAAACTAGCCTTTCTTGGTCCACTGAAAATTTCACCTATTTTGGGCGCAAATCTAAGCTAAAAACGCCGCATAGCTTATATCCCAGAAAATTCTTGTTTTCAAGATAGTGCAAAAATGGCCAAAAATGGCAATTTTTACATACCCAGGGTATATGCATATTCGTTGGAAAGGTCTTGAAGTAAGCTATCGAATGGTGCCAATTGCGACTTAAAAATTTCGGGTTCATGTGGCCAAATCGGCCAAAAATCAAAATTTGACCGTCTGGCCTGGACACATAACGGATATTTTCTCGAAAAAGACTCCATAGTTTCTTTTAAGAATCTCATCGATTTATGCCCCAAGTCAAAGATAAAAAAGTGTATACCACACACCACTGAATTTTGGCCGTCTCCATTACGAGCCATAATTTATGACATTTGGATCCAAAAAAATAACCTAAAAGTCCACATTTTAATTGTATTTCAAAATTATTAAAATTCATGTGTGGAGATATTTTGAATCTTTAATTTGGAAAATTACTCTCACAAAATTACTGATATCAAATTAAAAATCTCTGACGAGGTGAAAAGCGAGTGACGAAACCAAAATGTGAGACACAAAATTTCTGATATCAATTTTGTGACGAAAATAAATGATAGATAATTTTTCTGTGTACTGTGAATAAAAACTTAATATGCATTTGTATATTCGGAACGTTGCATTGCGTCGTCAGTCCATACTGACAGTAAAAAGAGAGAAATTTCTGCAACGTTTTGAATGTTCAAATGTATATTAAGTTTTTATTCACAGTACATAGAGAAATTATCTATCATTTATTTTCGTCACAAAATTGATATCAGAAATGTTGTGTTTCATATTTTGGTTTCGTCACTCGCTCTTCACCTCGTCAGAGGTTTTTTATTTGATTTAAATATACTTTAAAAAAAAACTATTCACCAACACCAACGCCTAAAGATATATGGAATTCCTGATCGAACGGTGCCATTTGGTTCCCGCTTTCCCAATGAATTGCATTTGGAATTGATTGTAAGTGTTTATAACCTCCAGTGTCGGTTCCATATTCAAGACCATCAACCAGAAATCGAATGCTTGAATTCGTCCAGATTATTGAATATGTATGAAAATCATTTCCAAAATGCTCTTGGCCGAAGTGAATCTGTTAAAAAAATTCAAAGTTTGTATGTATTATAGGCTGAGAGCAAAAAAGCACGTCGCGTCTCAACTCTTGCTCTCACTTATGGAAATTTCTGTGGGCAAGAGAAGGAGGTGAAATACGACGTGCTGTGTTTTCACTCATGAGACTGAGAGTATGTAAACTTGCATTATGCAATAGATTTATGCAATATATTTTGTATGTTGCATGTTATATGTTGATAAAACATGTATTTGGATTATTTAATTTAGACGATGAGCATACTAGGTCTACTTTTCAGTAATATCCATAGTTTCTCGTTGCTCAGGTTT